CAAACATTCGCTTCTGCTGGTATGGGATCCTCACATCTTGAACTGGTCCAAATAAGCTTTGGAATGATACAACAGGAATTCAATTAAATTTATCAACATAAAACCAAAGAATTCATAAAACTTAGCCCATGGAAAAAACCAAGACACAAAAACTAGTTTAGTATCAAAATCATGGGCAAAGAGAAAAATACAGATTACATGCCAACTCTATCCTAAAGACACAGAGGAAGGGAAAAGGTTAAATGTTAGCTGAAAAATGAAAAAAAAAAAAAAGCACTACTGCTCTGAAACTGAGAGCTGGTCACCAAAATAATTGAAGATGTGGAAGTAGCAAGCATAACCATTTTTTATTGCTAGCCACATTTGCAAGAGGAGATTTGTATAATAAAATTCATGATGTTATATACCATCATGAATGAGTGCAAGATGAGGTAATCTCAAGTGATAAAATTTGAATAGTGACTTTAACTCTTTAAGAATTCAAACATTTAGTAAGTATAAATTGCTCACAAAGACAAGAACAGGTAATTGTGAACAGCCTGCTTCTAGGCATCAATACTTACAATTGGCAAAAGGTCTAAAATTTCATCATTGGAGACTACAACAAGACTTACATCGCTAACTCCAAATTGCATCAATGCAGCAATTGTGAAAGCACAGAAAAGGAGACAAAATTTTGAACTTTGAATATCACAATAGTAGAAATTATTAGAACATCAAGCGTCAAGAATGGATAATGATGCTTTGATAGACCAGTACTCATGTTCAAAAGACAAATAATCCATACCCAAATGCAGCACTGATTTTCTAACCACTATGAATAGAAATACAAGATTAATGACAAAAAGTAAATGATCCCTGCAACAGAGAAAATTATGTGAACGACCAGGCAAAGAGAAGCGCTCAAGTTACCTAAAGTAGTTTGAGACATCCTTATCCTTGAATGAGCTATCAGCTGGGAATGTCAAATAAATCTGTCTCGATGCTGAGTTGGCCTTTTCTGCCAATGCCAATGCAAAGAGGTCATTCCTTTCTAGTTGATCCTGACCAAACTTGTAGATTTCTTCACCCAACATTAATGCAGCAGCTCTATAATATATCAAATGCCAAAAGCACAGTCAATTGATAAAGAATAGCCTAATTGCAAACAGAAACACCGTCCATCTATTACATAGCATCACAAAGTTAGGGAAAAAGCCAATTGAGTATCTCAATCATACCTCCTGAAACATGTAAACCACAGAACTTAGCGGATATTCATTCCATAGTAACAACAATTAAGTAGAAACACTCATCGGGTAAGCAACGTCCAAAAAACTTCTGGTTGACATTTAAACCAAAGACCCAAACAAAAACCGAACCCAGATGGCAAACCCTTCATGCATCCCATGGTCAAAATAAAAAATTAAAAAATATATATGTAGAAACAAATAGTAATTCCCAACATATATCTGGAATAATTACAATTATCAAAGAAATTAAAAGAAACAAAGATTTACGTGCATCACATGGCAATAAGTTTAAAACAATAAGAGAAACGACAAAGCTCTAAAATACCTCTGCGGGTCATTTTGCTGCCGGAGGAAAAGATTCATGCTTTTGTCAGAAAACAGTGACGGAGCTCCGCCTATGAACTGTGAAGCAGCTAAGCGTTGCTGATAGAGAGCTTTCATTCTCTTCATCTCCTCCAGCTGATGATAAAAAAAGTCCATTTTGCTGGATGAACCAACAATATGACCACCATGGTCAACATTATCAGCAAAACCACCATGTGCAAACTTGCAATTATCCCCGTTCTTGCAATGCCCTCTAGCAAAGTAAATGCAAGGCTTGTATCCACCACCAAAACCAACATCCTCAGATTCAAGACGCAATTCACTAGCTGAGAAACTTCTCCTGTGCAAATTAGTGTCTCCATTGTTAGCTGAATAACCAAATTGAGACCTTGGATCGACAAATTCCTCACTTTTGGATGAATTCTCATCAAGAAAGGACAAATATTCATTAAATTGATGGTTATCGAGAAAATCACCACCATTACCACCCTCACCACCGTCATTTTCATTATTCAGATGTGAAAATGAAGGGGCCAAAACAGAACCAGAACCAGACAGAGTACTCTCATGAGAAAGAAAATGACTTGATTTTGGACCGCTGCTTGGTGACAAAGGCGTTACCTTTGACTGTGCTTTTGGCATTTCTGAACTTCTATAATGGCTATTTCATCAATAAAGAAGGAAAGGAAAAAGAGGAAGATATTAGGGTAGAAAGAAAAAGAACAGTCAATGTTTCCTTCTAGATCCCAATCCATAGAGTCATATTTTGCATTGGCTACAATATCTAAGATCATAATAGATATGAAAATTCCTCCAGCACAGCATAATCAAGTTGTTGATCTCAAGGTGCTTCAGAAAATTACCATTTTGGCTTCTGTTACTGGGCATATTAGCTCTGTTAGAAATCTAAATACAGATTCTGTTTTATTATTTACATTAAAACAAGCAATATCAATAAAACACTAAGCTTTCTTTGTCATTGCATATATGGAACACCTTCACAGAAGTACAGAACAATAATCAGTTTGAATATCCATTAAAAAAAGAGCATAATTGAGATTCAAAAAACTAACAGTGCTACTTCTCCATGAATTAGCAGGAACTTGGAATGAGCCAACAGGGTATCAGGCTGAACTTCGAGAGTGTCTCTAAAGGAAACTCAAAAATTGGTGAAATTTTTCTATCCTTCGAGCTGTAGATGCGCATGCCTATTTCACTACCTTCAAGCAGATTTAAAACATGATCATCATGGGTGAAGTAAATACAGTTCCCCTTGCATCTACTAAAATCTTTTGTTGATACTGATACGGATTGATTTTGACCTAAAAACAATGATCGATCATCCCCAAGAGTTTCCACTTCTACCCATTTTCGCCCTTCCAAATCCAGCTTATATACATGAAATATCTCAGTAGTGAAATCATGGTCATCCTCCTCTAGCACATTCCCTGCAATAAGCACATTCCTTGCAACAAGCAGAATCTCCCCATCTGATTGAACCAGATAAACTCGAGAGATGAAACAATTGGGTCTTCGAAATGTGTGATTGGGGGCAGCATATCCATTGTAGATTTTATTTTCTGGATAACCCCTCTCTAAATCCCAAGTATGAATATTACCATCAACAGTCAGGACATGGAGCTTGTTTTCACAGCACATAATATCGTCCACATTACTGGGCGGAAATCCTGAATCATAGAATGGTGTCCACGAAATGTCTCCATTCTTATAATAAAAAAGAACTTGAAATGGAAAGTCGCATAACAAAACCA